CCCCTGTACTCGGCACTGGTGAGGCCACACCTGGAGTTCTGTGTCCAGTTCTGGGCCCCTCGGTTTGGGAAGGACATTGAGACACTTGAGCACGTCCAGAGGAGTCAATGAAGCTGGTGAGGGGCTTGGAGCACGAGCCCTGTGAGGAATGGCTGAGGGAGCTGGGGTTGTTTAGCCTGGAGAAAAGGAGACTCAGAGGTGACCTTATCACTCTCTACAACTCCCTGAAAGGTGGCTGTAGTCAGGTGGGGGGTCAGTCTCTTTCTGCAGGCAGCAACTGACAGAATGAGAGGACACGGTCTCAAACTATGCCAAGGGAAATATAGGTTGAATATTAGGAAAAAGTTTTTCACAGAAAGAGTGATAGAGTACTGGAATGATCTGCCTGGGGAGGTGGTGGAGTCACCATCCCTGGATGTGTTTAAAAAGAGACTGGGTATGACACTCAGTACCATGATCTAGTTGAGGTGATAGGACATGGGTTGGACTCAATGATCTTGAAGGTCTCTTTCAGCCTAGCCATTCTGTGAATTCTGTGAATTCTGAGAATCACTGAGAAAAAGTTACATTAAAAGGGATGTCTGGCAGTCATGTAGTCCAAACTCTCCCAGCTTCAGAGTCAAGTCATATTACTCAGGCTGTTTCCCAGGAAGGTTTTTAGTATCTCCTGAGAAGAAGATCCAATGATTGCTGTGGGCATACATCTTCTAAATGATACCATTTTGCACAAAGATGCTGCATTCCATACTGCAGAATGAATCCACCTGAGCAGAGTACAGCATGACTACTCTTCTGAATTGTGGTGTTACACTCAGTTTAAGCAGATGATCTTTGTCTACAAAGCACCATTTAATTTGGAGTTTTATTGTTAACATCAGTTAGGAAAAGGCGAATGATCCCCATTTATGAGACGCAGCTCTCAGAAAAAAGGCACATCACATTTGTAGACTTCACAGCCCTGAGGGTTTTGCAGAAGGTTGTGTTAATGCTTTTAACTAACATTACCAAGGTTTCTCTTACAATATTAAGAAGCAATTCAGGGAAGATATATGGAGAGATATTTGGATAAGACATCCTTATTGTTTTCACTAAGGGCTTTTTGGTTGTCTTACAAGGTTAAATTTAATCCACTTTATATCAGTAGTCAGTTTAAGTGTGTGTCACTGAACACTCATTTAACTAAAATGTGAGTTCTCTTCTACATCTGTGAAGCAGAACACCCACACTCCCACACACATCAAACTCTATTTTAGCCAGTTAGTAACATCCATGACCAACTTAACTATATTGTAATCCAGCTACAGAAAATAAGTGTTTGGCAGATACAAAAAACCCTACAGTACCTTGAACACAGGTTTATCTCCACCCAGCCCAGCTTCCAGGAGATGTGAAGCAGAAGTCCACCCACCAGTGTTTGCCACCTGAAATAGAACAACACTAGGAAGTAATATGTGAGGCCTAGGGAATATGTGCAGATATCTTAGAATAAATAACAAGTAATGCACACTGATTTCTTTTACACTTTAAAACGAGTTATCAGCTTTCTTCTTCCTTAAGCTAGTGGTTTTCAGAGAGGTGTTCCATGTTTCTTGGGTGAAAATCCTTGAACATCTAGCACAGTTCAGACAGAGGTATTGTATTACAATGTTAAATGACATTAACATCCATAACAGGTCTAGCAGTGCGCTTATTTATCATTCCCATTCATTGCAATGTATTAAGCAATTATTAAAATCTTTCTCACACATGCATAAATAAATATTCACTCTATGCAGTACTAGTGCAGTTGGACACTGTCAGAGAAGAGTGAGCTCATTTTCCACAGGGATGTGGTAAATATTCAATGCTACTATCACAGCTCACTTCACCTTTTTTTGGATGAAGAACATATGAGAGATTAAAAGGCAGGTTTCCCTGATATTTGCTGCAGGTTTGACTATGCTCTATCCAAGCCAGTAGTGAAATCCCGTCAACTTTATTGTGAAGAGTTTCCTCTTGTCTCAGATTTTAAGGACAGAAGTTTGTGGCAGTTTCAGATGCTTAAGACTATGCAGAATAGTCTTAGATTATACAGGGAACCAAACCAAGTTCCAATGAACAGTGACAGCATGAACTGAGAATTACATTGTTTTCCTCTTTGCTCATCTATCATATGAAAATGAAAGTGCATCTGAACCACTTAAAAAAATTCAAGGAAAGGTCAGTTTTAAAAGCCAGAACTTATGGAAAAATATTAAGATGCTGAAATGCATTTTCAAATAATAGAAAAAGGAAATAACTGTTGTAAAACAGATGCTGTAAGGCAGTTGCTTGCCACTGAAATACGCTTTTCTGTTCATTTACCATGTCTAGTTTACACAAATCACTCAAAGCCCTCTCCCCATATGACAAAAGCCTTCTGCAAGAGACAGTCTCTGTGTGTGCACCAAAACTGAAGAAAGTGTCCACTGCATATCTAATTGAGCTGACTACATTGGAAGTGGAGATTCCCAAGGCAATTATTCCTAGAGTTGATTGCAGTCCTGAGACTGCAAGTCAGGCAAAAATGTAAGCCATGCTAAGCAGCAGAAAAGTAAGTAAAGACACCCAGTGTCTGCAGTTTTTAACATAATCTCAAAAATGGAGGAAATCTTGGCTCTAAGAGGCCAGATTTTCACTAAATGTCTCATCAACAGCATTGATGATATATAGGACGCTTATCAAAACATTAAATTTCTCATTACAGTCATTAAAATATAATAGTGACTTGTGATGCAGACTTATAAACAAGGCTAAGCATGAAAAAAACATGGTATTTGTGAATGCCTAAAGATGGGTTTAAGGTTGATTTTCTCTAGCACAGCAAAAGAATGTACCATAACTACACATTTTCCACATTTTATTGTACTGTAATTGCTATTTTTCTATGCTGAAGCTTAAGACTTTAAGGAAAATGAGAAATTATGGACTCTATATATCTCAATTACATCACCTGAATGATGTTTAAAAATTAACCAAGACACATTAATGAATGCTTTATTAAAGCTTCATGAAGCATGTTCTCTAGACAGCAAAAGTCAATAAGGACAAGAGGTAGTAAAGTTAGCTTCAGCACGGAACAACAAGATGTTAAAGTCATTTTTTAAACAGCAATTCTTAAAGCCATACTTACCCTTGAAAAAGGGTAGGGTAGGTAAATTGCAGGACAGACAGGACATACTGGAAAACAAATAGCAAATTAATGGACATCAAACACCTACAGTTTATAATATTAACAAAAAATCACAAGAAACAAAACATACACAGAAAGTTTTAATTTTGCTTTAGTTTGGTAGAAAAGCCAAAAAAAATGTTTAATTATTTCACCAGTTTTGTGTATTTCCTCCCCCTTCCCTCATCAGGCTGCACTATGATCCCTGAAATCCTTTATCGGCCTCAATCTTGATGAACAGCATCTGGGCTAAGTTCCACTTGAGCTTATCAGAAACACTGTCTGCTCTAAGAAACTTAATGCTGTCCAGTGAGTTCCTGCTTTTTAACAGCCTTGGAGACTTATTTTTCTTGCCTGTGTAATAACCCAAGTGGAACAACATTTTTGTTATTGAACTTTCTTTGAAAGTTACCAACCCACATTGAGGCCAGGAAGGAAAATTACTTTGTTTAAACCCAACTCTCTTGTTTTCCTATAAACAGCAGTCCTGAGTGAGACCCTTTGAGTTCTCCTGGATCACAGCAGGATGCAACCAGCAACCTCTCTCTGCGTGGGACACATCTCAGAGCCAGCAAACTCTCAAGTTCGCTACACTTGGAAGATCTCTGAAGGATGGTGATGGATCCTGGGCTGATACTATCCACTCAAGACTCAACTGTTTGCCCATGAAGAAGGTGCAAGGACATTCAAAGTGAGAGTACTTCACTGAATGTGAGAGAAATTTTTCCTTGGTATACCTTTACAGATGTTCCTTTACATCTGAGTGTGTGTGAAGTAGATGTGCTGCAGCAAATTTATAATAAGTATTGCTCTCTTTGATTCTTAAGTACATTAGGTTTGTAAGTAAGATAGGCCTGTGAATCACTGTCATGCCTATATTAAATTCTGTATTAATCTTTTGTTAAATTGTTTAAATTAAACTGTTGATTAAGAGCTGCTATGTTTAAGTGCTATTAAAACCTTTAGACTAAACCATTGATCAAATCTGGGGTTAAGTTTGGCAAGCGGGTCCACTATGAATGCTGTGACTCGGTGTGAGTGTCTTACTCCCTTTTATCCTCACCCTTTCCTGTTCTTACTTCCATGTAGATAATTTTAGGTTGATTGATTTTTAGATTGATGGATTTTAATCTGATTTTTCTCTGTCTGCTTTAACCATCGAATAAAGATGTCGTAGATGTAATGATGTAGTGTTGTAGTAATGTAATAATGATCTAATGATGTAATAATGTAGTAATTGATGGCAGCAGAGTGAACCTCACCAACAAACTTTATCATGATTTCACCTTAATATTAAATCTGCTTTTGCCCATCCCTTTGCTGGTGTTTCTCTGAGTAACCTAAACCACTCATTCAGGACACTTCCCACACCAGAACTGCTAGATGCTGCTTCAGTTGCTGTGGAAGGTAACAGACACTAAAGTACATGAGTGGAGTGAAGCATGGAGTGGACACACTGAACAATGGAGAAGGCTGTCATCCGAATTGTGCTTTCACTTTCTGAACACAGTCCATACATCACACTGAATGGAAAAGGATTAAAAGGAACAAAAAGCCATAAGCACCAGTTAGCTAAAATCATATTGTACCAAAAAGGCAATCTTTGGCAGAACCAAGAGCAGTAATCTTAACATAATTGTCTCCCTATGATTAATGTTTCTTACAGACTTAACATTCTACTTACACACTATTTTGTGTAAAATATTAAGCAGCCCATAAAGCCCATCAGATAGATGGGGGTAAAAAGCAAAATCTGTGTCATTGCTTTAGCCTGCTTTGTCTGGGCCTGCATCTATGGCTGCTAGTGTCTCTTCACACTAAATATGTATATATGCAAATGTGAGGCATAAATACATATCTTCCAGGTCTAACAATTTCCCACAATGAAATATATAAATACCACTTCTGCAAAGGAGAAGAATGATTGAAGGTTCCTCAGAGGAAATGGAAAGTAAGTTGCTGCTCCTTCCAGGAGCCAGCAGAAGCTGTCAAGGGCAAAAAGAGAAGCTGAAACCTTTCAGCAGAGAGAAAACTCTGCTGAACACCTTGCAAGGTCCAGTTTTCAGATTTATGGGGTGTCACTAAGAGGCTGGCATCAGTTTACAGAGACAAGGCATGTTGATTCACAACAGGTCCTTTTACACATACACCTGTCAGAACTGCCACATGCATTTTAAATCAGGAAAATCTACCTACATGCCTATGCTCCTGCTTGCATTTGTACACCATCTGCAGCAACTGAAAGGTCTACATTCTGGTTATTTTTAACTACATTACACTAAAACCTACATTCAGGTTTGAAAATGGAGGCCCTGTGTCAATGTCCCTTATGACTTCTCAAGCCAAGCTAAGCCAGATGAATACGCTTCCCAATCCATGATGCAACATGGCAGCTCTTTTAGTCCCTTTGTTTAACTAATCACTGCTCCCAGCAGTCTGTCAAATCAAGTTCATTATCTCTCCCTACAGCTTTGCTTCATGTCTGGACTTTAGTCTACTTCTGGGCATCCTTAATGGCAAATGTATCTTGGGACAGAAACCACTGGCCAAAGCCCAGAAAATATTTCATTTTCACCTCTGAAATGCTGTTTTTCTCTAATCCTCCTTCAGAATATTCATAGCCTGATTGCTTCACCAATATTTTTTTCTTTCAGAAATCTGCAACAGAAATACAGACATGCTGTCTGACAAATAGGATAGCACAGAGCTCTATCTCCTCCCAGTGAAAAAACTACTTTCAAACAATACTTTAATGATACAATTTTATTCACAATGTGGCCATCTTCAGCCTATTTCTTCTACTTAGAAACTTCAGCAACATTAATAAGAAACTGTTACACAGTGGAAAACAAAATTCTTGATTGGTAGGTTAATTAAGTTGACAAAGGAACAAAGTTTCCATGGAAGTTAATTGTTTCATACTAAAATAATACTTTGAATATTTCACATTTTCCCCTTGGATAGTTGATACTATTGTTCCAGTTAACAGATTTTCTTTTGGGAATGAGTGCAGTTGCCAGACATCCAATGATGAAATATATACAGCATCAGCGATACTTTCAGTGCAGCATAACTTCAGGGTCTATAACACTTCATTCATTGGAATGACATGATGTCAACCCCGTTGCTCTTCTAAACAAGACAATAATGGAATTTCTCTGTCGTGGAAAGGTAAAGTTGTCACTCACTGAGCAAAACGAAACCTGCACCCTATCCGCAGTTTCGGGAGCACACTGGGATGGGCGGCGGGCTGGAAGTGCCACGGACTTTTTCACTCGTGGGGTAGTCCCGTCCAGGAAGGGCTGGTCCTCCGGCTCTCCCTGAGCAGGGCAAGCACGGAAAGCAGAGGGCACAGTCTCTCCTCTTTCTCCCCCTACTCCTGGATCCCTGCACTTCCCTCGCCCCTCGCTCCCGCAGCTGCGGACCGGCAGCCAGCGCCCCCGCACCTCCCTGCGCCCCGCCCGGCCCGTCCGAGCCCGGGGCAGCCCCGCGCCCGCGCTCACCTTGTTGGTGAAGCTGAAGGCCAGGTAGAAGAGGCAGAAGGCGAGGCCGCCCGCCGGCCTCTTCAAATACATCAGTCAGCGCGGGCGCGGAGCTCGGCGGGCGGCGGCCATCGGCCGTGGAGGGGACACGTCGCCTCAGCGGGCGCCGCCTCTGCGGGGCCGCTGCTGCCGCCCGGCGGCCGGGCCGAGCCCGGAGCGGCCGTGCCGGGCTCAGGACGGCCGTGCCGGGCTCAGGGCGGCAGTGCGGGGCCTGGAGCTGCAGTGCCGGGCTCGGCGAGGCCGAAGCGGACTCAGGGCGGCTGTGCTGGGCTCGAAGCGGCCGGCAGCGCCGCAGGCCGGGCACAGCCGGAGCCCGGGCGGCAGCGGCCGAACCGTGACCGGCAGGGGAGAGGACATCGTCCCCTCTCCTCCGCCCTTGTGAGACCCCCACCTGGAGTGCTGCGTCCAGCTCCGAGGCACTCGGCGGGGGAAAGACCTGTTGAAGCAAGTCCTGAGGAGAGACGCAAAGATCATCAGAGGGCTTGGAGCACCTCTTCTGTGAAGACAGGCTGAGAGAGCTCGGAGAAGAGAACGCTGTGGAGGGACCTTACACCAGCCTTTAAGTGCCATGGGGACCTGCAAGAGACCTGCAAAGGGACTTTTTACATGTGCATGTGGTGGTAGGGGGAATAGCTTTAAACTGAAAGAGGGCAGATTTAGACTAGATGTAAGAAAGATATATTTTACGGTGCACTGGTGAGATGCTGGAACAGTTGGTGGATACACCATCTCCAGAAGTGTTCAAGACCAGGCTGGACAGGGCTCAGAGCAACCTGATCTAGTTGAAGATGTCTAGCAGGATGCTCTGCCCTGGAATGTGGTCAAGCAACTTGGACAATGACCTACTTACAAGGCTATTAGTCCAGTGGTGGACTGAGAGGGCATCAAGCTCGTTTTGGTGTTGAGTTACGATAACACCAGTTGGACACATCAACCCCAAATTAACATACTGACACTGAAGTAAAAGTTTGGCAGACAAGTTGCTAAGCTGACCTGGAGATAATATGACTGGCAGTCAGTCACTTTACACTATAAAAGTCCAGTCCATTTTCATATGGTTAGGTTCTTCTAATATCCCTTCTTGGAGTGTGTATGAAGATTCCTCCATTGGGTGGGGACACCTCTTAAAGTTAGTCCTTTGAGGCTGAGTGAAAGAGATTTTGCCCATGGTCATTGGTATGGGTGAGTAACATCAATCAATCTCTGCTTTAAGAACTATTTCTTTTTACTAGTTTTAACAGAATTGCTTCAATATAATTGCTTTGATAAAGTGCACTGTACCATCCTATCCAAGTAGTTTTATCTTCTATTGCATGTAGTAAATAATTCTGATTAAGATCTCTGTCTAATCATTTATCATAATGAAACATTCATTTTAATATAAATAGATCTGCTTTGCCATCATGTATCCTACAGCACAAAGTTGTACAGAGCCGTTAATTTGTTGTTAATTAATAAGTTGTTAATCACACCTCTATAATTTCTTAAACCATTGACAGTCTGAGACTAAGATTGAATCCAGATGCACCTTGGCTCCTCTCTGAGAAGGAACTTAGAAAGCAAGGGGATCCTTTCTGTACCTCATGGCTCAATGAGGGGCTTCTCCAATAAACTTTGTCTGAAGCTCCTGCTCCCACCCATGACAAGAGTCCCTGCTTATTGCAGGGGGCTGGACTAGATGGCTAACTTTAAAGGCCCCTTCCAACCAACTATTCTATGTTCCTATGATTCACTGATGACATGTGAACTATAAATATCCCGGGCAGGTGAGAAGCAGTGAAAGACATGCCCTGTCAGGTCATGGTTATCAGGTGATCTTCTATTATGGCCTAGGTAAGCCTTGTTTTTCCCAGACCTGGTATTAGCAAGGCCCTATCTTTGCAGTTCTTACACAAAGTACAGGGTCCTCTCTGTACATGTACATCCTCTTTTTAGAGGACAGAGCAAAACAGCATAAATAAGGAACATTATTTATGAACATGGTTTAAACAAGGGAGGGAGGGAGGCACTAAGTGGTCAAATCCAGGCCATAAAATTAGCCTGTTTAACCTGCTATGTTTAGCCTCAAAAGCCATGGTCAACAGAGTGCAACAGCTGAACAGCTGACCTCCACCAAGATAAATTCAAGTATTTTGGTGCATCAGATGTCATCCTATCTGGTTTGTAAGTCGATGGCCCAACACACACATCAATTTCCAGTGCTGAAATGTTTGGTCCATCCAGACCCACAGACTGATGAGTCACTGTAATGGATGTGTTATAGATGGCAGGGTGACACAGCATTTCCGCTTTGCAGAGCACCTGTTTATGTACAAATGTCAAATGTGTATTTGGCAAACAAAGGCATACTTTGCATTGTGCCACAAATTCAGCCTGTAAACCTTTGAAAGAAAGTAAAGTGTACAGATATCTACAAAGACTAATGTAAGCATGCAGTAAGAGTACTTTTGACATTTTTATTACAGTTTTTACATTTTACATTTATTACATTTTTATACATTTATTACTATTTTTCATGCAAAACATTACAATGATATCTCTGAGCTTTCGGTAGTATTTCTTAGTGCAAGTGGGAGACTTGGCCAAAGATTACATACTTCCTTACAGCCAAATACAGAGGTAGGTTTGGATTCTTATAGGCTACTTACAATGAGGGAGTAAGAATGAAGATGCAAATTTCTGCTAATGTTGTTTATCAGAACTGACTTGAATTACATACAAAGTAATCACTATGCAGCTTTGGAATTCTTTTGAAAATATGAAGGGAAGTTTCTGCTCTATCTAGATTTTTAACTATTTTTATTGGGAGGTATGAATGTGTTGCAAATGATTTTGTTTACACATCATTTCATAGAACATTTCTTTTTAACACAATTCAGTTCAAAGATTGATTCATTCATGTAAGAGGTCATAGGAGCAACGCACAATCAGGAATATTTAAGAGACTAAAATAAAACACTTATTTTTGAAAATTAAAAAGTTAATAATAAGACATAGGAATATTTAGTCACTATTCATGTCTTTCTGAATCAAAACCTACCAAAATCCATTTTCTTAATCAGTGCTTGTACAGCTGTGCAAGAATAACAATTTTTCCCAGGGCAGCAGGACATTGTTTTGATATTCTGCTCATATATAAAACTGTTAATTTTAGACAAAGAAGATAGACAGGAGCATGGCAGTAATCTTCATACCCCAAAAAGGCAGCTGCAAAGGGAAAGAAATAATGGCTTTTCACCAGGGCTAAGTAGGGAGAGGGTAAGAAACGTGCTGGTACTGCATCACCAGATAAAGCCACTCTCATCAGCATTTGGCAGTGCTGTGGTAACCATTGAACCTGATGATTTTAAAGGTCTTTTGCCATTTAAATGATTCTGTGGTCCTATAATGGCTTTGTGGCAAAGCCTGTGTCATGCCTGCAGGTCGTGTGTTACAGCCTGGGTCCCTGCCCTCTTCCAAATGGTTTGTCTTTTAGTTGGGAACTTTCTGGGGTAATGAACTCTGGAGCAGAGTGTCTTAGGGGATTGTAATGTGTTACATCATTGCAGGTTGCTAAGGACAAATAAGAGGAACTTTGGCCAATGAAGCTGATTCTTGCATGGCTGAGATTGATATGAATGGCCTTTACTGGGCCTGCCTGGCAGCAGGGCTTTGCTAAATGTAAAACAGGGAACTTTGAGCAGGCTGGGGGATGCCAGAGAGGCTACAGAATCCCTTATTACTTCTGCCCTTGCAGCCACCCAGCTTTCCTAGGCTGTATTTCAGATTATCAGCAGTGACTGTGACGGTGCATTTGTCTGGCTGCAGACAGATACCTTCAACAGCTGATGATGAGCCAGGCCAGAGGAGATTTCTAGGCATTGCTTTCTTCCTTTAAGGAAACTTGCCGAAGTAGACCTAATGTGCCATAGCAAAACACTATCCTGTTGCTGCTATCCTGGAAATAGGACATTTTAGTCAAAATACTATTTTCTAGATAAACACTATGTATCAAATTGAGATGTAAAAGGCAGGTCACATACAAAGTATTTAAATTTCTATCTGCAGTGACTTAGAGGATTGGGATCAAATCAATTTGTTTGCTTATGGTTTGGTTAATTTGTTGTGGTTTTTTCTTGTTCTCTCAGTTATTTTCTGAAATAAATACAAATGCCAACTGTTTCATTTCACAGAATCAATTAGATTGGAAAAGACCTCTGAGACTGAGTCTGATCTATGACCAAACACCAAGTCGATTAGACCATGGCACCGAGTGCCACATCCAGTCTTTCCTTAAACACCTCCAGGAATGGTGACTCCACCACCTCCCTGGGCAATTCATTCCAATCTAATCATCCTTTCTGTGAAAAAACTCTTCCCAAAGTCCAATCTAAACCTCCCCCGGCACAGTTTAAGGCTATGTACTTTGGTCCTGTCGATTGCTGCCCGGGAGAAGAGGCCGACCCCCAGCTGGCTACAGCCTCCTTTCAGGTGTTTGTAGAGAGCGATAAAGTCACCCCTGAGCCTCTTTTTCTCCAGGCTAAACACCCCCAGCCCTCTCAGCTGCTCCTCGTGGGACATGTCCTCCAGACCCTTCACCAGTTCCTGCTCTATCCTGCCCTTCTCTGGACTCCATTTCACCCATTTGTTTTGCCGCTGGCTGTTTGGTTTTTTGTTTTTTTTTTTTCCTCCCATCGTTTCCTTGGTTACTTCCCGAGATAAAAACAAACACCAGCTATTTAATTTCTCCCTTCCGCGTTACCACCAGCCCAGCGCAGCCCGGCGCTGTCCCTCAGTCCCCGGGTAGGGGCGGCCGGGCGAGGGCCCCGGCAGGCTCAGCAGGCCGCCGCTGAGGCCGCGGCCGCCCCGGTGACATCACCGGAAAGGCGGGACACCCCCGGCCAATGGGCCGCCTGACGGCCGCGGAGAACGGGGGAGGACCCGGAAGGTTTGGCAGTGGGAGCGTTGCTGCCCCGCGGAGAGACCCCGCTCCTGCCGCCCGCCCGTCCCTGCGTGCCCGATGGACTCGGTGGGAGTCGCCGCCGCCGCGCCCGACGCCAGGCCGGGCTCCGCCTGGCAGAG